GATGGGCACAGGTAGAAAAGGACAGCAGTCATATATAAAAGCTTTGAGAAATAAGCTTCAATAAAAACATTGTCTAAGGAGAGGTGTATCATATATGTGGGTATGTGGGGTGAGTATATCCTTTTGCAGTTACAGATTTGAAACTACAGAGTCCATGCCTGCATTTGTAACACTAAAAAGACACATGGCAGATTTCCATGTGTTTGAAGGCTGCATCTATTGTTTGGGTTTTTTTTAAATAAAGGGGTATCTCAAAGTAAACTACATTTCATACTGAAGGGTGAGGTTTTCTTTAAAGAAAATTAGTCCAATTCTTTCAGTGTTGCGCTTGCCTCTGTGCAACATTTTTCTGTCCCTTGTGGGTTGGAAGCGTTGGTGGGAGACATAAGGAAGATAGGAAACTGACTGTTGGGAAAACAGTGATACTCAGAGTGATATTCTGTTCCCTTCCTGGTCATCCACACATCCAGATCTGGTGGTTTGCTTGGAATTTCTGCTCATCTAAATGCCAAAATGCCTCATGCACCTCAAGTAGGAATTCTGTTGCTGGATAAGCCTGCATACCCACATAGCCATCCATGTATGAACACAGGCAACAGAATATAGCAGGAAGGGACGATAGACTTCCTGTCCTTTGGCCCCAATAGTTCAGTGGTTGGAGCATGCACCTAGGAAGCTCAGTTCTAGGCCCTCTCCTTTGCCCAGGATTATTTGAATTTGGGTCTCTCTAACTTTTCAGCAAGACACTTGATACCACATGACAGATGAAGCATTATCTAGTGCAGTCTGTGTCCAGGAACAGAATTCCTACCTGGAGTGTTAATGGCATTTTTGGTATGTAGACAACCAAAAATGCCATGTAGATGACCAAGTCTGGATACTTGGATGACTAGGAATGGCTACCCTTCCTGTAACACAGAATTATTGCCAAAAGCATAAAGCAAATATATAATTACAGTTATGAAGGTATATGTTCTTTGACCTTTTTGTCATAGTCATAAGCTTGCAAGTAGTGGGGAGGAAACTTCAACTATAAATTAATTTGCATAATATTTCTTTGTAATGCTATTAACTTTATTGACGGTAGGGTGGTGTAGCTTGTATTTGCCAACATTAAAACTTGAATTAATTACATATTACATGAAGAAGAAAACTGTTTTGTGCTCCATATCAAAACCTACCCCTTTTGGCCAGTGGAACAATGGTATTAGTACTAATCAAGGAGAAATGCCTGGATATTGTTAGCGTGACAGGGCACTTAATGCACACCTCTCACTTTACGAGGAGATGAAGCTGCAGAGGAGACTTGGATGGCAATCAAGGGGTGTCACCTGACTAGCATGTAAGCTCAGGGCCTGAGGTGGTCCAGCAGTCTAGCCCTGAGAGACACAGAGAGAGGAGCTCCAGAGCAGCAGGGCTGCAGCAGGACTCCTGGGTAACAGCTGAGTTAGGGTAAGCAGCACTAGAGATTTGTGGACAGGACTTAGGAGTAAAGGAGGTCCCAACAGGCTCAGGAGTAGGGCCAGAGGCCTGGGAGCAAGGTCAGAGCCCAGGAACCGGGCAGAGATTGGGGCCAGAGGCCCAAAGCCTGGAGAGGGGCATAGGCATGGCAAAGAAGCCCAGAGATTGGGACCAGCACCCCAAAACCCAGGAGGGGGCAGAGGTAGGAGCCTGAATGGGCAGGACACAGTGCTTAGGAGTAGCCTGCATAGGTGAAGTGCCTGGGTAGGGAATACAGGCAGAGGTGCGGTACTCAGGAGTTGCCATGAGAGGCAGAGTGCCCAGGTGAAGAAGGCAAGCCTGGAGTAGCCAAGGTAGGCAAAGTGCCTGGGCAGGGAAGCACAGTCACAAGGGTGAGACCATGGCCCAAGGGGGCTGTTGATCAATATGATTGATAACACCTGCAAGGCATGCGCATGGTGTAAGAGGCAGTTGGAGCCACATAATTAGCTCTTCAGGCAATGAGTACAGACACCTGTATTCATGAGAGGAGTTCTGACTTGGGAAGCCCTGGGGCAGCCTCCCTGTTTCTAAAAGTAACATCAAGGTGTGGCAGACAAGAAGAAGGGGAGAGTGCCCAAAGAGCTAGACAAGACAAGGGCTGAGCTGCCACCAGGGGGTGTCACACCACCGCGGGGACCAGCACTTGTTCCACTCAGGCAATGTTATGCAATTTTTAAAAGTGAAAAATAGAGTTTCTTAGAAACCGGCCAGACCACGTTGAGAAACAGTAAACTTGGTTCTGAGTTTAACCAAGCTTGCCTGAACCCTGCAGGGTCGCAGGCTGAACTCAGATACTTGCTGCAGCTATTCAAATTGATCCTGCTTCTGAGTCACGTATAGCCTGTGAAACCTTCTTAGCTCTAATCCAGGTAAAACACTGAATTTTCATCTTCCTAGTTTATAGTGAAGTCACAAACTCTATTTAGCATTTTCTAGCTACTCTCAGCAAATATTAGCCTGTATTGGTGTCTAAAAAAGATGTCTAGGATTAATGGGTGGAAGACTTTAGAATCACTTTTATCAAAAAAGGAAGGGAGAGTCATTCCAGGCTGAACTCTGCTGATATGTTGTTTCATGCAAAATAAATCTTGTTTCATCAAGGAGTAAATTTACCTCAGTTTAGTTTCCTCTTACTGTGGGATAGATCAGAGTGGGTCAGCAACATGTTAATCCTCTCCTCGTTTACTGCATCATCAAATATGTTCAGCAGTCCACACATTGGTTCCTTGTGTTGGAAGATGGCTACTTTTTATTTGTATTCTTTCTCTTGCAAATTCAGATATGGTAGTTTGTAGTTCTTAAAGGGCCTGGCTGAAAGCCCATTACAGCCCATAAAGACTCAACAACTTTTGAATGAGTCAAAATTTGGTCCGATTTTTCAGTGGAACAGACTACCTTGGCTTCCAGTGACTCAGCATGTTTGCTTAGGGCTTCATAGTAATGTATCAAACATAGATACGAAGAACATGTTGTCATCATTAACTCTTACTTCCAGGCTGAATAGTGTGTGACATTGAGGGCTGCTGCACACAGAAAGCATTGCAGACCAATGTAGTATCAGCCCTGCCCTGCCTACGACTATCCTCATACTAGTTGGTTCCTTAATATTTCTCCTCCTTCTTCCCCTAGCATGCTTTAAGAATGCTAGCTTTCAGGCAGATACACAAAGTACTTGGAATGGACCCTTTGCCGCCTCCTAAAAATAGACTTAATGAACGCAACAGGAAAAGGAGACGAGACGTCAGTGAGACGACAGAGGGCGAGGGCGACGGGAAGAAAGACAAAAAAGAGGAAGATGACAGTGATGCCTAACCACTGCTGTGGCAGTCATCAGGACAAAGTTCACATTGCTTTAATTTTTAATATAGAAGCTGCTGTTTCGTCTGACATTTGACAATTGTACTATTTTTTTCCTTGAAATAATGTATTGTAGGTGTTTTAAATGGTGCTTAAATCATTGCTGAAATTGCATCATTCCACAGTGGTAAAGTTGCTCTGGCAACAGTTCTTCTTCTTCTATTATGTCCCTTCCTATCCACCCCACTACAAAAGAAAGTACCCATAGCAGAACAGGTGGACTAAGGCAGGCATTTTTTTTAAATCTGACATTTCTTGTAAGCTCATAAATGCCCCATTACATGTGATGCAGGGGTGTCAAACTCAGCTGCTATCCCAGGCTGGATCCAGATCCAGAAGCTCTGGCCCCCGCCATGTGCCAGAGCCAGAGCTGCCACTGCTGTATGCCGCATGCCATAGTGGCAGCTCCAACTCTGCCTCCACCACAAGTCACACAGCAGGGTACTGACAGCTGGGGAGGTAGGGCCATGGCAGTGATGACAGGCAGTGCAGCTGTGGGGGGTGGGGGGCAACTGGAGCTCTGTCAGCCCTTGCTTGCTCTCCTGCCACTGATCGCCAGGCCCACCGAGGTCTAAGAGTCCCGGATTCTGCAGCAGCCTGCTTCCCCAGCCCCCCACCAGGCATTGCCCCAGACCTGCTGGTAGCCCAGCAGGCTAGACAAAGGAGCTCTGTAGGCTGGATTTGGCCTGCAGACTGCAAGTTTAACACCCTTGATGCAGAGAAAAGCACAGGGTTATTGTATTAGTGTCTTTAAAGATGCTTCCTTGTTCACTTTAGATTTTCAGCCTCAAATTGGAGTACATTTGTAACCTGATCCGGAGTGTCTGAATGGACAAGATTTTGGGGGTTGGGAGGGGCTCTTGCACTTTATGAGCTCCCATTTTGGAGCAGTACAGAGGTACATAAACCATTTTCTTAGCTATTTTGGGGTGGAAAAAAAAAAGCCAACTTATAAGTGACAGTTGGGAGTGGAAATGAACCTGCAGAGATAGCAAAGCATTAAATATTTAATTGCCTTGGATTTGCAGTTCTCCATTAGACATGGTATGCTTTAAAACATCTCTGTAACATGCTACCTAAAAATGAAAAAATAATAGTTTCTCTTGTTTAGTACTGTGGTTAAAAACTTTGCAGTTTTCTTTAGAGAGTGTTAAATATCTTCCAGCAGAAATGGCAGCCTAAGTGCCACATTAAACCATCAGAAGTGGTAACAGAATCAGAGCGCTAACTTTCTAATACATGTTGTTTAATAGTATCACCTAACCACAGGGAGATTCTCTGTGTCTCAATGAGTGCCTTCTAAAGAGAAGTGGCCAGGACTCTCACAATGAAAAGCTATTCCGTAGTGTCTGAGGACTTTTCCTTTCCTTTCCTTTCCTTTTCTACAGTTTTAACTCTTGTCAGTTTGTGCAGGCAGGAATCTCTCAAAAATAGAAAATTCCAGGCACTGATGGACTTACTGTTATAGTCTACCACTTCACAAAACCTGATGCTGAGCAAATGAGGGTGTCTTTAATTCCATAGAGGGAAATGGGGATAAAGGAATCGGTCTTGGCCCTTGGGTGGAATTCTCTCACTCTTTAGATGCCTAAATGGCACTGAATAGCTGTGTAAATGGCATTTTTGGCATGTATGCACAGTGTGCAGTTCTGTTACCAATGTGTCTGCATGGCTACTGAGAGTGCGTAGTAGTGTATGCACTAGCCAGGCAGCAAACACACCCACATCCTGAAAAAAGTAAGGCATTATTGTGTTATAATCTCAGCAGGTAAGGCATTCATGCAGGAAACAGGATGATGGGTTCTGGACCCTCCCAGCCTCTGTGTCCCTCTGATGTCATCACATACTGCTTTAAACCACCACATGCCTGATTAGACATTTTCCAAGTTTTCCTCCAGCAGCACCCTCAGATGCACCCCGTCCAACCCCATGGACATGTACACGTTCAGTTTTTCTAAATAGTCCTTAACCTGTTCTTTTGCCACTGATGACTACTCACCTCCTCCCCAAACTGTGCTACCAGGTGCAGTAATCTGGGAGCTGACATTGCCTGTGAAGACTGAGGTGGAAAAAGAATTGAGCACTTCAGCCTTTGCTGCATCCCCTGTGACTAGGTGGCCTCCCCCATTTTGTGAAGGACCCACACTTTCCCTGATCCTTCTCTGATCCTCCATGTGGATACTTAGGCATCTATGCTGCAAGGGTAACGTAATCAAGTTGTGCATAAGTGCCAAAAATGTCATTTACACAGTTGGTGAGTGCCCTATAGGCACATAAAGCGTAATGAATTTAGGCCTCGGTGTATAACCAGCAAGCCCTGCTGGGAAAGCTGAGAGCCTAGAGCTGGATAGGCCATACTATTTGAATGGAGCTGTATGTGGCAGGTTTCTCAGCTGGTTGCACAACGCATTTGTTAAGAAAGACCTTTCTTGATAGTATTGTGATTTATTGTCACTTAACACAGTTTGTTTGGTTATTTTACCTTATAAGTGTTTAAAGGACAGCCTGTAATGTGGCTTTAACATTTGATTGTCTTTGTAGTGCTATCCAGTTAAAAGGAGACAATTTTAAACAAATAAAGGAATGCTATGCTTCCATTTTCTGTGTAATGTGTAGTGTTTAATCAATGAATACTATAAGAAGGTGGTCACTAGTCAGTTAGCTGAGAGCCTGGATAGTGATTGTCCCAAACATCCAGCACCCCAGTTCCTTAGTCAAATCCTCACTAAAACTTCCTGATCTAACTCATGGCACTTCACAGCAAGTCCCATGAGGTAGACCAGGGGCAGGCAATTATTTCGGCTGGAGGGCCGCTAAACAAGTTTTGGTGAGTTGTCGAGGGCTACAACAGTGGCCCCGCCCCTTGACAGGTCCCACGCCTCCTGGTTGCCATTTTGGAACTGGAAGTCCCACTCTGTAACCCCTGACCTAATCCACTGGAAGTCCTTAACCTTGCCCCTGGATGTACTCCTTTTGGGAAGGGGGTTTGCCATCTTGAAACCAGCAAAAAAAAGATACACTAAAAATCAAATATCCACAATAATATGTTTTTTTTATTTATTTTTTTTATTGTCCTGATTTGTGTGTGTTTGCATCTCGTGTATAAATAAGTGATTGCAAAATAGCTCAAAATGAAGTCTTACTCTTGTATATTTTGGGGGGAGGGGGCTGGAGAGGTGTGGTGGGGGTATGGGGAGTGTAGGGTTTGTGACGGGGTGTGGGGTGGGGAT